ACCAGCTCAATAGTTTAGAGGTCAATTGCCCTCACGAGATCGAAGATCCTAGGTAAGGGATTATGGATTCACATTGCTAAGGAGTCCCAAACTAGAACCAAAAGGGCATCCAGTGCTTCTAGATTATCACTAGTGATCTAACTTTGTTTAGTTGATGCTCTCAATAAAAAACTAACAAAAGAAGTATATGGTATAGTTGTTTCTTTTTTCAAGTGTTTTCTTCAACGTATCATTCATTAACTTATTTCATGTGACATTGGTGGAAAATTGTATTTGAATAATGCATCATTCAAAGATTACATTTCAACTCACTATAATTGTTGAATACAATGGATTGTTTTCTGTGTTTAGACAATAGTTTCCACTTTTGTTTTTCTTTCGAAAATGAACTAAGTAAAATGTTCAGGACAAATTACTTGGTCATGAACCAAATTAATAAAGTAACTACAAAGCTTTTACTCATGAAAGGGAATTCATTAAAAGCTATACTGTTATGTTTGTATGTGTTTCCGTTTGTTATTTATTATTTGCCCATTAATCTAATTCAGTATTGTTTTCTCGAAATTAGATTCATCAATTTACCTCCCTGTGACATTATTTATTTTGAAAATTATTTATGTTAACCATTAAAATCGGTATGAATATCAAAGACTATTAAACATATTTGAAACAGTTAAGTAGTTGATTCTTACTATAATCTGTTGGCAAATTTAAATGTATTACGTGGAGATGAAGGGTTGCGAAAGATCATGATTTGATTGAAATTAGACATTAACACTAGTGGATACCAGTTTAGTGATCTAGAGTTCAAGTGTTTGCTTGCGAGACCAAAAGTCCTGGGTTAGAGTCTTGTATAAGATATTACGGATGCGAACTGTTAAAAAGTTGCATACTAGGATAAAACGGTCATTCAGTGCTTCCAGGTATTCAATAGTGGTCTAGCTTAAATCAGTTCATGAATTCAACTATCAAAATTTAAATATCACAACCGTACTTCAAGTATGAACCATAAAGACATATTAAAGACTGAACTGGTAACAATGTTCTCGAGAAGTTTTATGCTAATGTATAGTAATATCATGTTAGTTTATATTTATGCTTCATTTGAGAATTACAACGAGACATTATCTGCTGGTGTGAAATATTAGCCTTGAGTAATTGAAGAGTTTATTTCATACTCCTGGCAAAGTTCAAAAATTGTACTGTTACCTTGACAGCTTTATCTAACACAGTTTATTTGAGTTAAATTTAACTAATAATAATTATATACTTTCATTATCACATTCATTTGAAATATATATATATCACTTATTATAAGATTTCATTTGGCTTATCGGCTACTATTATACGACGATTCTTATATTTTTTTGATTGAGATCACGAACCGATTGATGTTAGAATACCATTGAAAACCTGGAAGCACTGGACGGCCGTTTCGTTCTATTGTGTGACTACTCAGCAGTGCGCATCCATGATACCACTTGCAGGATTCGGAACCAGGGTCTTCGGTCCCGCGCTAGGACGCATAACCTACTCGACCACTGAGCCGGCATCCAATGTTGATAGTGTCTAACATCAACCAATCCGCAAAATTGCGCAACTATCTTCCATTGTACTGAGGTAGATACCTGTCTCTACTCGACATGCATTAGCTCCACTGGTCATGGCTTCTCACTAGAACTCCTAGAATGCCCTCACGAAGCTAATCACTAGGGAGCACATGTTAATTACTAGTATAGGGGTTGTGGAGATTATTATATTAATAGTAATACAATTATATTATATTATTCCCAATTTATTAATTATAGTATCTCACGTTCTTAATCACTTTTGGCCTGAACTTGTATAATTGTTATTTTCCATTTTATGATATAAAGCGGTCTGATTTACTTATATATATATAAATTGCGTATATATCTAAAATACATCAATTATATAAAAGAAGCTGAGATTGTATTCTGGATTCCAACAGACAAGGCTAAACAAGAATAACCATTACAGATTGAAATCAGATTCCAGGTTTCTTACGCTGGACAGCATGTCATTAATTGACCAATTTCATACACGTCAGTGTTCTTATTGGTGATCTAATCACATAATAATAAACAGCATCATAAAGTTAGTGAAATTAACAAAAGAAAATGTCACAGTTCTATTCTTAGAACTTATCATTACGTTAATGAAGTAATTGTTGAAAATAATACATCTAACATAATAACTCTTTATTTAATATTTATTACCCTATGCAACGGAAATGAAATTCGTATTAGATTATTCTATCTAGTTCGAAATTACAAGAAACTATCAGTCGATGTATGTATGTATGTATGTATGTATGTATGTATGTATGTATGTAGGTAGGTAGGTAGGTAGGTAGGTAGGTAGGTAGTTAGGTTGGTAGGTGGGTAGGTAGTTAGGTATTTAGTTGTTTAAAGGTATATACTTAAACAATAATGACGTTTCCGATTACAACTTTTCAGTTTATTTCAAATATCATACAAGAGTCATTAATATATAACTAGATTTATAGTTTTCACAAAGACAATCCATTTTAAAACATACTTTACACTAGATTTGACGTTATGCTTTATTACCATGGTTTTTCAAGTATATAAGGTACTTCAACATGAATTATTGTACATTACCTAACTACAAATGATGATGATGGTTATTATTATTTTTTATTGTAATACCACATTTTAAATATTCTATATGATAGAAACGATATCATACAATGATATAAAGTTTGTTTGTCGGTCATTATTCTATCCCTTTTTATATCCACCGCAATAATCAATAATTGTACTTAAAATTACCGAGTAACCAAGAGAAAATTTGACATCAGTTTTGTTTACTTTTTTTATTCCTTTGGTAAGTTTAATAGAACTAAGAAAACAAAACATGCTTTTAAGTAGAGGTATTTTAGTATTCATAATGGTACCTTTAGGTGACAGAAATTTGTTTGTTTTTTTCTTTAAAACAAACTCCTGTCTACAATGTCAGTTGTTATGTTTATGTAATAGTGATAAGCGTTGAAATGACATTTTTATAGGCATAAAGATTTAGTTTCTAAGATGAAATATTTTCATTAGTGTTCGTTTACTTAAATTATAAACAAAGCAAAATTGAAACTATATCTCATAACACCGATTCAGTGATTTTAATGATAAACTTATGCATCGAAAACTGAATAACCTGGTTTAGATCACTGGCTCGAGCTGTGGTAGTCAACATTGAAGATATTGGTCATGAAAAGTATCAGTTACTATGAATTAAGTAGTATTTTAATTTTTTCTGTGGCCATATATCTATCATCACAAATCAATCGCTAGATAGATTTATAGAATAGAAAATATCTGTAAAAGTAGTGAAAAAGTCATTTATAAACTCAGAAGCAAGCATCCAAGATCCAGAACGCGGGATCAGAAACGAGGACCTTCTGTCACGTGCCCGAATGTCTAACCTGTTGTTATAACTTGTGTCCTGAGTGCCCTGTTAATGTATAACGTGATAACACCGCCAACTAGAGAGCAGTGATTTTTTGATTAGACTAATGACGCATAAAACCCGTGCAAGCAGTCTAGAGTACTTATCAATCCTGCTTCCTGCCTGGCCCAGCCAGTTAAGTTCAGAACACTAATCGCAGCCTCTTCAATATGAATCGTTTATTTCAAACATACTCGGTTTATATACCAACCGAACAGACCACATCGTACCATAAAATAGGAAACAACATTTGTACAAGATTTAACCAAATGTGGATGTGAATGATGGAGGTAGTAATTAATAGACAGGGCATAATTCAGAAATGTTAGATCGTATTATAATAGCTCATAGGTCAAAATAAAGCTCATAATAAGTTGGACGTGAATATGTATAGTCTAGTTATTTAACAATTATACGATATAATATACCCATAGTATTGGTTCATAAATGGATCCCAAAAGTTACCATTCATTATGCTTATCGGGATATAACACCTGTACACCACTGAATCAGGACTCCACATTGTGAATCTCCAAGGTTCAACCACTGAAGCTTTTTAGATTTTTAATGGTAGTCTAACATCGATCGGTTCATGATCTCAATGAAATTCAATATTTTCCACAACCCAAAATCGAAAATGATACCTTACTATTTTCTTGTATAGTATATATATGTATATATATCCATGTGAACTCGAAGCCAGACAGCTGAACGTTGTACTGTAGATCATTGTTTTTACGGTAACCTTTTGTATTAAGACATTACTGATGGACGTTAACTTCCGATCAAGTGATCTTAATAATAATTTTCGGTCTCTTCTTTCACATTTCATAATTGTTATTTACTAAAACATATCAGTTTACTGTGAAAATATGTCGAAACTTATAAATATTTGACTAAAATTAATTTTATCCCCTCAAATCTGAACAATCAAATCAAATGGTATCATAATAAACTTCAGCTATGTAAAATAAATGACTGAAACTCAGATCACATTTTAAGAACTCCATCAAACTCATAATAGTAAAACATATCCATTTGAAAGTTAATTGTTCAAACTTAGGATCATACGTAACTTTAAACAAATTTCTAATCTTCAACAATGTTTCCCTAAAATGAGTTTAAAAAAAATCGATAGATATACTTCATTGAATAGCATCTAGCAAGACATCCTCTGTACAACGATTAACACACGTACTGTAGTGTGTACTACTGATGTCAACAGATATCAGTAGTATGTAACATCAATCAAAAGTAGACTACCTGATAGCAAACAGTTAAGAAGATCGAACAGAACAGAATGAAGAAATAATACAAATCTGAAACAATTGATTAACATTTCACAAATGAAATATTTACTGTATAGTTCTTAGATTTGTTTAAGGCATTCTATAATTTTGTATCCAAGTGCATTTCATTATCCCCACTTATAGGTTCTCGTTGACTTTAGCACTTTTATCAATATTGATAATCATAATAAAGTATATTTATATATTTTAAAATAGAAAATAATACAGAATATTAACATTTGTCATGAAATAAATGACATTTCTATATAACCATAATCATAAATCTTTCACAATGTTATCATGATATTATTATACTGAACCAATACATAGTAATAATGGTACGTGTAAATGTATACAAAATACATTTTAACTTCTTTTTTATTTCTGTTTAGAATAAACAGTATAGATTAAAACATAATCTATCTAGATAGTTTTACATCATTAACACCACTTAATTATCTTGAATGTGTTGTTGTTGTTGTTGCGGTGGTGGTGGTGGTGCTGGTGATGGTGATGGTGGTGGTGGTGGTTATTGTTAGTAGTATCTTGTTTGTTTTTTTTAAGCATCTGAAATACGATTTACATTTGATTTATCATGTAATTCACTATGAGTAGTTGAATGATTGATTGGGAAATAATGAATAGAATTTGAATTCCCTTCATTTATAGATGATGGTTGATTCATACGAATCATTGGCAATTGTATATTATTATTGTTGCTACGTGTTAACAAATTTGTTTTATTTGATGAACGTGTTAATTTAGGTAAACGTATTTTAAAACATGATAAAAAGCATGAATAAAATAAATGATAAATATCTTGTCGAAAATTTTTATTTATCCATGCATATATAAATGGATTATAACATGTGGATGAATCACGAGCAAAATTTGCTGCAGCCCATGCTTTAATTGAATAAGATTTAAACCAAAAGTCACGATTAATTAATCCATGTAAATAGATTGTATGCCTTGGTAATTGTGATAAACCATACATTAATGCTACTAATGTTAACATTTTCACCATCTGAAATGAATAAATACATTATATAATCGTATATATTGAAAACAAAAAGGTTGCATGAATTGTGTATAGTCATTCTATTTAACAGTGAAAGCTTCTAAATGCCCTGGTACGGCCGAGAGTGGGGAGAGTTCGCTTTCTCTCTCCAAATGCTCTCACATGGCCACGTGTATATAGCCTCTGCCAGGGAAGTCCTACTCATTGCCTTCTTAGTAGCACTGGTGCTGTTTACGAAAATGAGAGGACGAAAAGCGAATATCCGATGCTTTAACCGGGCCGGTGGAGACGGTGAGTCCATCTAGAGGAGTTGGAAAACCATGATTTCAAATCAATCGTGCACATGAGCTCCAGTATCCTGAAGGAACAAATGCCGTATGAACTAATTGTTGGTGACTAACTACCATGGGACTGCATCTCCTTAAGAATCTCCACTGCCTTGTGTATCAGACTTTCAGGTCGAAGGCTTGGGGTGTGGACCTCTGAGAAAACCATCTGCTTCAGTGTGGGCACCCAGGCAGTATCACAGCCCTCACACATATCAAATGAGATTTGTGTGGCGGATTATTATTAATATTATTATTAAGGGCTTTATTCAATATTATATTTTGGTACAATAGAGAATTCTCAGCACAGGGTATTTCAACAAGTAACTTACGCAACAACATAAATAAACAGTAACAAATACAAGAAAAAGGTTTCTTTGTACCAATATCTATGTGTTAAAATAAATAAATAAAAATAAATAACAGTGAACATCTATTGAGAAAAATATTTCTGAGCTAGTGTGTAGCTATTAACTTGTTTTAATCATAATCTTGTTTAGCTTAAGTACTACTTCAGACAGTCACTTTTTCTTTAACAAAAGTTTTTTTTGGCAAACATCACGTTTGTATCTACAGAGATCATCAGGTTTTAGTCTAAACTGTTCAAGAATCATTAAAACATTGAGTAGTCATATAACTAATTAGTATAGAGATTTGTGAATTCACGAGTCAATTCAAATCAGACTAACATTGTAAACATTGAGGCACTGGACGGCCAGGACCAGTGGAATTCAATCTATATGGGATAAAGATAGTTATTCAGTTCAGATAATGAATGAATGGTTACAAGAGATCATGGATCGATAAAAGTTAGACATTAATATCGTTAGATAACGGCTTAGTGATCTAGAGGTTAAAGGTTCATGAGCGAAACCAAAGGTTCCGGGTTTGATCCCTGCATGTGAAATCTTGGATGCGCACTGTTTAGAAGTCGCATACTAGGACAAAAATGACCGTCCAGCGCTTCCAGGTTATCAGTAGTGGTCTAGCTTAGATTGGCTTGCGAATTCAACTAAATAAGTATTTATCCAATTGCCAATGGTAACTTTACATGAGATAATCTCATGATATAATCTTATCCCCAAATGCTCTGGTAAGACCGAGAGTGGTGAGAGTCAGCTTTACCTCTCGAAATGCTCTCAACTGCCCACGTTCATACAAACACTGGCAGGGAAGCCCTACTCACTGCGTTCTTGCGACAGGGGTGTTGTTTACAAAAATGAGAGGACAAAAAGTGAATGTCCGACGCTTTAACTGGGTCGGTGTGTAAGGAGGATTAACCTTGGGGAGTTGGATAATCCTGTTTCCAAACCGATAGTGTACATGGGTTCCATGATCCTGAGGAAACTAATGTTGTATGAGCCAATTGTCGGCCACCAGCTACCTACCGTTACTCCACTGCCTTGTGGGTCAGATCTTTAAATCAAAGGCTCTTAGTGTAGCCCCCTCTGAAAGCCACCTGCTTCGGTTTGGGAATCCAGGCAGTATCCAAACCATTACATAAATCGAATGATTTATATAGCGCATATCTATTTGGAGCCTTCTTGTACCAATGTTTATGGATTAAATAAATAAAAATCAGCAATAAAACACCAACAAATTTGTCTTTCTATCTGTGGTTTTCACAAGATGGACATTTGTTTAAAGATTTACACCCTTTTTTGAAAATTATATTGTGCACAAAAGATGGTAAATCAATCCGTCGTAAGAATGCTTTATTATATACAAACATGTTTTATCTAAAGCTGCAATAGTTATGATTTAATAATTACGTAATTGAATTCTTGGACAGTATGTCAACTAACATTAACAGATATATGTTTATAGATGCAAAAGTAGTGGGACAATCTCGTATATGATTATCGATTAAGTTACTAAAATTAACGCGAATTAATAAATACGCATGTTTATAATATTGTCCTAGTCAGTTAGTAACAACGTAGAACTTCGTACGTTCGTACGTACATCAGTTCGAGTTGCCAGACCACAATATTGTCCTAGACAAACTATTTATCTTATGCTATACATAACTATGACGTAGAAACTTTGATGAGGGATTAAATGTTTTAAAAATAATAAAGATGAATTATACATCTACTTTTATGCGTTACATGTTTCTCATTCTGATGATCAAATCTGTTTCACCTTATATTAAAACATTTTTGATTGAGATCATGAACTAATCAATGTTAGAGAGGTAATTCTTAGAGTTCTAGTGCGGAACCGTGACCAATGAAGATAGTCTGTGTCGGATAGAGACAGGTATCTACCTCAGACAATGAAAGACAATGACGTTATATCGTGGATTATCTGAAGTCAGGCATTAACACCATTGAATACCGGCTCAGTGGTCTAGAGGTTAAGCGTTCAAACGCGAAACCAAAGGTCCTGAATTCGAATTCTGTGTGCGGTATCGCAGAATTCCCATACTAGAACGTAATGGCCATCCAGTTCTTGCAAGTTTTTAGTGATGGTTTAACATTGATCGATTCGTCATCTCACTCAAAAACTCAACAATCTTCACAACCCCATTACTGATCACATTAAATTGTTTGTGACAATAGATTCTTTGATGTTAGTTATTTCATGTATTATCATTGGCCAGATAACTTTAGAAATTATTTTATTCTGGTTTCAAACTAGTTTTACAGTGATCACTCAAAACCTTGTCTTGGTCTGAATACATGAGACATTCAGGTCACGTACATAAAAAGTAAGTATGAGATCTCCAGGCATTTATGGAATGATCGATACTTTAAATTATAGTTCAATTTTTGTTACAGCATAATTAGGTACAGCATTGATTTTTTTTCTGACATGTTACGATACATTTAAATACTTCCGCATAGAAGATAAAGCATTTTATTCATTAAAATGATAAAATACTGACAATATGCTTTTGTTCCATATTTTAGCCAAGTAGAAATGTAAATTATACATAGAAATTTCATAAGAACAACAAGAGATATAAATGTAAACAATATGACCGTAATTTAAATATAAGCAGATATGGATATTAGCTAGCAGTTGAATTCAGGACACATATTTTGTCCTAGTTGGGACTCGTTGGCTAGATATACCGGCATCTTAGAGTCCACATTCACTCGAACCCAATACCGTTCTCTTCAGACTTCATCGCGTTATCCACCGAGCTTTTGAGTCCTGATAGTCAGATAATCCCAAATAAAAAGAAACACATATCCTGGATTCCACTGGTATTCACCACCCATCTTTGCTTGAAATGCTCGTGAATTATGAGAATACGTATAAAGTGAACATATGTCAATATGTGACTGGTCAACTGAAGTCCTAAACTTCATAGGGACGATTCAAATAACCAATAAAATAATGAAGTAATTTAAATATGTTTCATAGTTTCGCTGTGTCTCATAGGTAATAAGGTAGGTTTATAATTTTCTTATGTCTTTATGGATATGAGTTTAGATAGATATTTGAAGTTTTCCAAATAACTGGCCAATACCTTTTCAACAAATACAAACCATTCAGTTCATTCATATCATTTTCTTCGGATACATTCTGAAAGAATAATTCACATATACAGATGAAGTATACAAGGAGCACAACAATTTCACATTGATGCGTCTAACAAATATTATTAACTACGACAAGGACAAGTTATAGGAGTTGAACTAATCAGAATCCTATCATCTAAGGTATTCAAGTTACTATTAAAATTGATGTAATTTAATTCAGTAGTAGTCACATTCTTAACAATAACTATATCATGAAAACGTAAAACTCTCCAACTACTGAACGTTTTGCCTAGATCTTTAGCAATTGTTTTCTACAAAACATTCACCAATTTATTTTTGGATTGGTTGGAGTTAGACATTAACACCGTTGGATGCCAGCTCCGTGATATAGAGGCTAGGCATTCTCTCACGAGACCGAATGTCCTGGGTTTGAGTTCCACTTGCGAGATCGTGTATGCACACTGCTGAAGAGTCTCATACTAGGAAGAAACAGCCGTTCAGTACTACCAGGTATTCAGTGGCGGTCTAGATGAGATCAACTCATGAATTCAGCCACTAAATTATACTAATTTATTATTTTAACTTCGAACTGAATGTATTTTTCCGCTTATTAGACATGAAGAAATACTAACAGTTGCGTTTCAGACAAAGAATTATTGTGCTATTATACATTTCTTCACTAACACCGATACCTGGTTGATGTAGACATTGCTTGACAATTGTATAAAAATTATAATCGCAAGCTAACCAAAGTAAAATTAACTTAGGAATCTTAACTGTTTACAAATTCCAAGTTTATGAATAACAATATGACTTATAACTGTATTTCGTTTCCTATTAGCATTGTTTTATAACATTATTATTTAGTAATCATCACTTCACAACATCCAACTAAACGTCTCAGTTCAACTTATATTTGATGAAATCCATTTGGTAAAGTCTTCTTTTGCAACATTTGTCATATAAAAACAATAAAACATGCATTTTGCATTGTTTGTTTGAATGTTCACATTGATGTTTAAAACTTCAATTGATCAGTTTCTTATCAACCCATGTGCATCCTGTACGGATTGCCTTGAGATTGCCTAAACTCACAAGGATTATAAGCAATGATGGGTGGTGGGTAGCCATGGAATCCAGGACGCACGTTTCGTGACTTAGATAATGTCGAGGCAATCGGCACATATG